AGCTTACAACCTATATCAAACGACCATCTTATCTAGGATAACGTAGCACTCCATGTTTTGAGTGTTTTAATAAGGACCACTAAAAATGGCGAGAAGTGGTCAGAGTTCGATAAAAAAAGAGCTTTAGTAGTAATTGTAATGTTTTCGTTTATTGTTTATGCAGATCAGTCCATTGAGAAATGGAGCCTCCAAAGTACAGACTCTTTTAAAAGTTTACAAGGTTATCTGGGAGATTGGGAGAGCCCCACACCACTTTCATCTTTACAAGTTTCAGTTGACGAAACTTTCCCAGAAGATACCTTTGCAGAGCAGCAAGCATATCTAGTTTTCAATGGGAGAGACCAATCAGCCATCTGTCATGAAAAGGGCGAGATGAGTGATGAAAACAAGGAAGATGGGGAAAGCTACACTTCATTTTCACTTTTACAAGTTTCGTCGGGTGAAGTTTGGCTTGAGGGAATGTTTGATGTACAAAAGGCAACTCCAGGACGTCAAGATAGTAACACATCAGACAAGTGGCCCTCTGAAGGCGGTGCAAACGCGGGAGAAAGAAGGTCATCTGATGTACAGGATTACACATTCAAAGAGCCGCAGGAGATAGATAGATAGATAGATAGATAGATAGATAGATAGATAGATACTTTATTATAAACACCTTGCAGCCATGGGCTGAATTACGGAATATTTACAAGTACAGATGATAAAAAGGACGTGTAAAATATTACAACTTCGTCGTTAAGAAAGAAGGAAAATTATCTACATCTTATAAATATGGCTAAAAATAAAACTATTCTTCAAGCGCTCGGTTTTGCATATGGGGAGAGTGAAATCACTTTTGCGCCTCAGTGCGTATCTACAACTCTTCCTTTGGGGGAGGAGGCTGTGGAGTCTATGGGTGGGGTTACGGACTATCTCGTCAAACAGGTTGGTTGAGATTTTTTCCCTCCTCTCGTGAAGTTTCGGTAGGCCAGCCGTTTCTAGTGCTACACAATATGACAGGTTAGGATAGATGATTCTGAGTGCCCTTCTTTGGATCCGTTCCAAATCTTCACTGATGTAGTTTGGTAGAGAACGGTGGAATACAGGACTTGCGTATTCCAAGACGGGCCTAATACATGTCACATAGAATTGCACAAGTTCGCTTGGTGCAACTCCGGATCTCTTGAGTTGTCTCAAAAAGTAGAGACGAGAGGAACATTTTCTACTTAGTTCAGAGGTGTGCATGTTCCACTTTAAATCGTGGCTAATGGTCACGCCTAGCAATTTGGCACTGGTGACTAGTTCAAGGGGTTTGCCATTTATGACTAGGGGTTCAAAATCGTGGTTGCTGTTAGAGAATCCAATTCGTAGTTCTTTGCACTTGGCCTCATTCATTTGGAACCCATCGATACTAGCTTGTCTTGAAAGGACATCCACAGCTTCTTGGAGTTTGCTCTCACTGCCCTTAGTAATTATTTCGGAACAAGATGTGTCGTCCACGTATTTCCACAAGTCGGCTGGGGAGTCTAAATCGTTAATCATGATGAGAAATAACCAGGGACCTAATTTTGTTCCCTGGGGGACGCCGGATGGTACAGAGCGCCATTCAGAGTGACAATCTTGGGCAAGTTTGACTCTTTGTTTCCGGTTCATCAAAAAATCGACAATCCAGCTTTTGGTTTGACTCGGAATATCATATGTTGCTAGTTTTTGAACGAGAACACTATGGTCGATAAGGTCAAAAGCCTTACGGAAGTCAAGTAGGGCTACTCTTGCCGTGGCACCATTTCCGTCGGTGTTAAAAAGCCAATTATGCGTCATGTTGACCAGAGCATGTGTGGTAGACGAGTTAGGAAACCTCAAAAAGGCAGAAAAGTGTTTATTTTGAGAAAAAAACTTGCACTATCTCGAACTTTTTAAAATTTTCACTGAGTCATGTATGATTTCCCATTTCCGTAAGGTGAATCCAAACCCTCTGTCCATATGCTTTGATCGGGATTAAGTTTGTATAAAACTGTTATTGGGAGTGTTTTGAAGAATCTTAATCACGATATCATATTGTATTCTCAGGTTGCCATCACTCTCGATTTACTGTATTTCAAGTTTGAGTCAAAAAAGTTGGTCAGCATTTTTTTGCACATTGCTCAATTTATTGATGTTAACCCTTGTTATCCCCTATGTGTTGTGAACTACAATTTTGGTTTTTTTTCCTTTTCCAACAACGATCTAGACTTTTCAGTGTCGAGACTGCTCCATTACTGATTCATATTGAGGGTTATCCATTGCTTGAGCTCACGTATTTTAGCGTACACGCCATACTTTCCAGCAAGGGCGCAGCCCTCCCCCCAGCTGGTAGCCCCCTCCAGGTGGTATTTCCCATTATATTGGCACACCAATGGCCCGCCGCTGTCACCCTGGCAGCTGTCTTTGCCACCTTCCTTGAAACCGGCACAAAGCATGGAGGCGTGAAGATTGCCATAGGCACTTCGACACACATTTGGTGACACTAAGGGAAGGGTCACTTCTTGCAATTTATTTGGCTGGCCGCCTCCGCTTTCCAGAGTTCCCCATCCGCTTATCAGACACTGGTTATTGAGGTCATCTAGGGGAAGATGATAAGCGTCGTCTCCCAGACATACGAGCCCCACACCAATTCCGAGAACTGCTTCTCTATCAAGTTTGATCAGCGCAACGTCGTTTTGGTTGTTGCTCTCACTGTACTGAGGATGTTGTACAATTGCAATAACATTAAATTCTTGCGTGGTGTCCTCTTTAAATTCCTTGCGATGTGCACCCAACCTAGCAAACAGAAAATTGGATATGAGACCAAAGCTCAACTGAGTGTGCCACAACAGGGCTTAAAATAGTAATGCAGAATGTTTCGAAATGGCCAATAGATATAGAGGTAATAGGTCACAGTGAAAACCTCTAATATCGATGCATTTTTGTTTTAAAAGTTTTTTCCTAAAGAAAACACTGATAAAAAACAAATGCTTTTGTAGCAATTAAAAAATGTTCCCTTCGAATTGATATTAAGTCATAGTTTACTTCCGTCTTTTATAATGAAAATTTTAAACAACAACTTTGTTTTGGTCTTAAGATGTTATGCATTTGTCAAAAACGCGGGAAAAAAAATTTAAAAAAAATTCACTTGATGACACAAACCCTATTCAATTCTGATTCTGCCACTGTATTTTCTGTCAACTAAGCTATGGCGAAATCGGATTCAGTGTTATTAGAATTTTAATCACTATTTAGAAATATTTTGTATTGACCGTGCATTTACGGTCGCATCTGAAAAAAAACAAATCGGTGCTGAAGTGCGTCAAAGAAACGAACTTTTAATTACCAAATTTTAAATTGTCCGGGCTGCGAGCCAGTAACACAGTGAGCTGCGGTCAGGACCCACTGCTTATGGATCAGAGAACCACCACAGAACTGCCCTCCATTGTTTCCGCGTAACATTGCCTGCCATGGAATGCTGTTCTTAATTGTTTCTCTCCCGCCAACAATTCGTGCACTGGAAGTAGGACGATCACCGCAGGAGGAGGGGGAAGGTGGAGGTGGAGGCTGGGGACTAGAAGTTCCAGCTGGGGGTGCGGCTTAAAACAAGATTAGGTCAGGGGCAAGATCAATCGATCAGTATGAGTCACGAGTCTTACTGGTTCATGGTAATGTCAACCTACTCTGAAGCCGTCAACTGCCAGTTTTTTGGCACCGATTTTTTTTGTCTGGTCAAGGCGAGATCAACCGCAAATTATCTGCAGACGGTCTTAAGGCTCCTCAAGGAAAAGGTGTTGTCTTACAACATTATTTGAAATAGGCTAGTTTTTGTTTTTATTTTAGCGCTATCTCAGCGTCTATGACTGATCAGTAGAAAAAGTAACCCTGATGAAACATTATGAATGCTACAACTAAAAATACGAGGGGAAATATTTTCAGCTGTTTCAGAGCCCAGTTACTGGGCTTCTTAACCTAAACCACGAATGATATACGATTTTGCACTCTACATGACACAACTTACGGGTACAGTCTCCAGATCCTTCGGAACAGTCTGCATCAAAGTCAGGAACAGGATTACCTTTAAGAGGAAAACACAACTACCATGAGTATGCCTCGCTATCGTGCAACACTCTCCCAAACGGAGACAGCACGCGTGAATGATCAGTCCAAATCATGTCCATTATCTTTGCATCGGCCAAAACTTCAGCCAACTTGACTTAAGCTATAAGAAATAGCATCCCTCAAGTCTATCTTTATTCAAGTGCCCATGACAAATCAAGTTGAAATTGCTATTAAGTCCCTCATGATCAAGGGGGATAAAAAGAGGATGGCAACCGTCATCATGAGATTCGCGGGTTGGTAGACTTTTAAGAGGGCGACACGATCGTTCCATAGAGTAGCAAAAGCAAAAAACTCGGTTATCGCAAACTAATCACCCTTTACTCTGTCCTTCGACTAGTTTGCAAGAATCCTAATTACCTATAAAGTATAAAGAAGACGTGAAAGAAAAATAGAATGACTACCATGTTACTAACCGTAAATTCCAACAAAGAATGTCAACAAGGCGAAAAGCGCAAACCTCGTCATTTTGAACAAAATGTCCGGGAGTTCTAGGCTTTCTGAAAGGTCAGAATGTAAAGGAGCCTTCTCCACCTGCTCACATTTATAGTAAAAGTAGATTAAACATTGCTTTTCACGCTCTGCCTTGTTTTTACAGATGTTCCATTTTCCTATGCGGGCCTACTATATAAGTGAACAATTGCTAGAATTTTTTTTTTTTATTAATGAATACTTTGTTACACATTACTTTGACTTCAAAACGTTTTAAAAGTTCCTCGTATGCTTTTCTGTCAGCAGCTTGTTGCAATAGGTGTACAGCTATTTGCATTAACTCTCTGTGTTTGAACGAAGGCCAATTGCAACTCGATATATGAACGCAAGATCCTAAAAGCACGGCAAGCAATTGATTAAAGGATCAACACATTTCTCGCTTGTGACGCCTGAGATCAAACAATGAATGGCAACTTGAGCATTAAAACTGCAACAATATTTGTTTTACAAAATATTAATGGTTTTTTAATCCTTTGTTTGACATTCTTGTCGGTTCTTTTAAGGATCTAAGACAAGGTAATGGTGATTGGAAGGCCCACTCAATCATGTAGAGGGTTAGAAGTTCAAACATTTCATTACTTTTGAATGAAGTTTAAACACATTGTTTGAAATCATTTAGCTGTGAACCCTTTTCGTACGTATCGAGAATGTTATTCTCTGGACCCATTTTATTTACCATAACGACATAGTTTTCGGGTTGGAAAAATAATCCATTCTACCATGCATTCCATTCCGGGATGTGATTCCTTGTTCTAAATAGACCTGAGATGCCAGAAAATTTTGTTTGAAAAAGTCCGATCTAAATAAACACCTTGATTATCTGTTCCCTGAGTTAGCACAACCACAAGCTGTTCCTTCCAGCGCCATTTAGGTTGCTACAGTCCGTTTCAAACTGTATTGATAGAACGTTTGCTGACAACCCGAAAAAATAAAGAAGCTTCGTGCTTCTTTGTTCGCCCTTAAAACTTGCAAAAACCACCCAAAAAACGAATAATACTGAATTTCAATTCCTTTGACTGTCTTTTAATTTACGTATTAAGCAATTGATGTTCCCTTTGTTAAATTCACAGGTTATTTCATCATAGTTTGAGAGGAGAGACTGGTTCGCAAAGATTTCTTAGGTAAAAGAAGAGGCGTCAGTTTCTCTTCAGCTATCAATATTATTATTATGACATAGACTTGATCTATGCACACATCCTTATACCAGTGTATGTATGTAGATACAATGAATATATGAAGTTCATATATTTTGAACTGCGGTATTAAATACGTATGATGCACGATCCTTCGCAGTAGATAGCGCTATTTATGCAATAGCGAAAATCAGGCCTGTACGGGATTCGAACCACTGACCTCTGCGATACTAGTGCAGCGCTCTACCAATTGAGCTAACAAGCCAACTGGGAGCAGGCCGTTAAGTTGATTCGTAATAAACCCGTGATGATAAATCAGATACAATGANATCGCAGAGGTCAGTGGTTCGAATCCCGTACAGGCCTGATTTTCGCTATTGCATAAATAGCGCTATCTACTGCGAAGGATCGTGCATCAGACATATGTATTTATGTAATAACTAACTAGATAATAGGACAACTTTTCTTCTTGTTCATAGCGCCATAACAAGGGGATTTTAAACTTTTGTTTCCTTTGTTTTTGTTGTGTTGGATTCTAATCTCCTAAGTTGAACGGAGTAGAGTTTTCGAAGTTCGCAAATTAGAATGTTTTTCCATTAATTTATTAGTTCAATGATTGTACGTGTCAGCGTCATGAGAAGAATTCCCTCAAATATTCCCTGAAATAAGCCCGATTTCATAGATAAAAACTATATATCGTAGAGTACAAATAACGCGCGAAACGAGTACAAATATCACGCGATATTTGTATTCCAGAAATATCCGCGAAATTCGCCCGCACTGAACTAACAGTTTGGCGTGTTGGATAAGAAAATCTCTTATTAGACGTTTTGCTGTGTAGTATCGCTGAGTATTTTTACTCATTGTTTGTATTTTGACGAGCCCGTAGGGCTCGTCAAAATACAGCACAACTCGTAAAAATACTCAGCGATACTACACAACCAAACGTCTAATAAGATATATATACGACGCCTTTTTTAAGATTTGCAGAGGCCAAACTTGCGTTTGTACACATATGGCCGAGGCTAGGCCACTATTTTTCTTTTTTCACAGATAATTGTCAGCGATTTTACATTGTACTATCAAATACGATCAGTTTCAGAGGCAAAGGAAAAATTTTTTATAGGGAAAAGTTTTATTTTGGTTACCTATTTCGCTCTCCTTACACGCCATAGTTATTCGCGCGACAAAAGAGACCTTTAACGTAACTGAACATGTTCGTAACTTGGTTGAATAGCTGAGTGGCTCCTCTCAGCGCTGCTTACGTGTCACTGTCGGGGGTTAAATCGATAAGTAAGATCATAATCTTCAAGTGAACAGTCGCTGTTTTTAATTGTTGACTTTTGAAGTTCGGCAAAATTGTCTACATCCATTATCGCCATTTCCAAAGTAACACTGTCTACTTGAGTCCATAAAGCTGTGTGTATCTTTCCGAGTGGCTGTTCCTTCAATTGAACGAGCATGGTATTAACTGTATTGTAGCAGTAACATCTAACTGCAACAATTTTGACATAGAAAAAGGAAGAAAAGGAAATGCTAAAAAAAATCATGGTGCATTTAGTCATTGTCATGGAACCCATAAACGACAAAAATGTGTTGCTTTCGTCTCTGTTGCATTTTCACTAAACGATTTAACTATACATTTTATAGTTAGGGACTGCTTGGATGCTTGTGGGTGTATGTGATATATATTCCCTGCTTTTCTCTTTTTTAGGGCTGAAAAAGTTTTTAATCAGTAACAGGTTCTTACTTAACATAAAGCTCTGGATAACTGGTATCAAAAGATGATTAAAAAATGACGTTGTCTGTGTATGGGGTATATTGATCATGAATTTCCTCGAAAAGTTTCTAATCCAGACCTGGAAAAGCATATCCCTGATTGTGGAAAAATAAAATGCTGCTGGCAAGAGCATTAGCAAATTGGATACTCATTTATGCTTTTAGAACAAACAGCCAAACGTTTTAGGGATTATTTGGTTGTATCAACTAAGTTGAAATTGTAAATTGGCCATCGTAAAGAGTTAAAAAGCTGACGTTTCGAGCGTTTGCCTTTTGTCGGAGCGAATGGAATACGCTCTGACGAAGAGCTAATACTCGAAAGGTCAGCTTTTTAACCCTTTACCATGGACAATTTACAATTTCAACTTAGCTGATAAAACCAAACTACCTTGTCACCCGCCACCGACGCAGCACCACAGTTTCTTTAGAAACTTACCCCCTTTATTCATTAGTTTAATGGATTACTTCTGAGCCCTATAACTCTGAGTACTTAAACTTTCACGGCTGTGGATTTCAGCCGTCCAACTGAGAAATCTGTATAGGCTAATGACCAAACGCACAACTTCACTTTGATTGTAGGCCACTGTTCCACTTCGTCAATGAAGCAGAAACCATGAGACCGATGAGACCCTAATTACCATTATTCTTTGGCTTGTCTCAGGGCTAAATTTAGAGAATCACAATCAGCGGAGATCTCGAAAGAAAAAAGTTTTGAATGTTTTGTGAATTCGGCTATTTGTTTTCATTCCAACTATTTCTAAAATCATTTACGTTGTGGTGACTGAACAACCAATTTTTTTTTTTTAATCAACCAACAAGCTTACAGAGCTGAGGTCATTATTGGTGACCATGCCGGCGACAAGGAGCCAAAATGACTCTGGGCTCGAAACTGGCTTACAGCTAAAAAAACCGATGTAAGTTGAATCCCGACCTTACAACGTGCTTAAAATATTTTGCAGTTGGTTCTTTTTTTTTTTTTAATCGGAGAGGCCTGGATTTTTTTTTTGGACATGCACCGGAAAGAGCCTGGGAACAAAGCTGACAAGTTTCCAAAGGCATTGTGGTCTTAATCTTCGTCTTCCATGTTCTGTTGGGCCTTTGATGTTCCTGTGGATCGTCTTTTCAGTTTTTCGCTCAAACGTTTGATTATTGCTGTTGTCGTCAGTAGTCTGCCTCGGCAGCGACTTGTCAACAATTTCGCCGCACAAGAAGAAAGAAAACCAACATCCTAATCAAAAGCATCCAGGGAAGTTCGCCAAACAGCCCTGTAAGTAGGAAAGATTTCGTCATTATTTTTCTCAATCATAAAGTCACGGAGCTCTGATAACACTGCGTGCTACTTGCCTACTCGTGCACGATATTTTTTTCAGGAACACCGTAAGTCTTTTACTGCCGAGTAATTTCAGCATTCAAGTGCGTGTGTTTATCGCAGCTGCAAGTGATAACAAGCGATCGATGCTCATTAATTACATTTATAATAAAATTTTCTTGCTTGTGATTTGTAAGCACTGCAGCTGCAGTTGATGAAAGCGGATTCATTGGTGTCGCTGGCAAATTGCCTTTTTTTCAAACCGATGGGTGTGTGATGTTTGAGGTCTTTGTCGTATTTAGTGAGGAATCAAAAACGTTTTAGCCTATAGACACAAAAATTGTTTATTCAGGGTTTGCACCGAATCTTTAACTAAAAGAGGAAATAATATTCAAAACCTGGGTAAAGTGTTATCAAGTCTCAAACCAAACATTGGAAGAAGCCTGAATTTTTTTCATAGCAGAAAAAAAAATTTAATTAGCTTTCAAAATACTTATGCACCAACTAAAATTTACTTTTATGAACTTATATGAAGAATATTCACCTTGAGGGTAAACCGTTGAAAACTCTCTTTCAGGTTAAGTCATCAGATTTGACTCCGTAACTTAAGTCTGGAATTCAAAAGTAATTGTTTTGAAAAAGTGTTGATTCTTGTTCATAAAAATTTGTTTATTTGTAATACTATTACTTGATAAATTTGACCAGGGAGTCAGCAGTGTATTGTAACTATAAGCTGCGACAGTGGATGGACTGGTATACCTGATGTCCGCTATGATGAGGCAGGAAGTTCAGCAGATGGTGGTGGAGGGGGCGACGATGACGAGGACGGTATATCCTTCCTCAAACTTTTTTATGTAAGTGATATTTGTCCCAGCCAAATTAGTTATAGTTTTAGATAATTTCAGGTCATATTCAAAACTATATCAAACATCTCTAACTTGATTGGTTATTTCCAGCCTGATGCAAGCACTAATAGGAAAGTGTACAGATCAGCTTGTAATTAGATAAGGGAATTAGATGCACTGTGCTTGAGTAAGTGGACAGAACGCATCATGTGCATGCACTGTTGTGGTGCACTTCATGGAGTAAGGTGTTTTTTTTTATGAAAAGGTATAGCTGATGGCTAGTTTGTCTCTGAAATTTTGTCATAGTTTCTATTAACTAGTATTACGACTTCTAATTATTCATTCAATTCTGTCTGTAACCTTACTTGTAATTCACAAATTGGACTCCTGCTATGTCATCTGATTTTGTTAATCACCTGGATGACTAAAGATGGAATTGGACTCCATTCAGTCTTATTTCTATTATAAATAGCTTAAGATTAGTTTGATTTGTATTATCCTCTTTGTACTTGATTGTGGTAACATGCCTTTAACAAAGGAAGATACAAATCCAACTTGCTTAAAATCATTTTGCCTTGGAATTTACGTTAAACTATAACATATGTTACTGAAAACTCCAATATTTGTGTTAAGATGGTGATTGGAGCTCAAATTTGCTATCAATGCTTTGGGAAATTGAGAAAATTATTTGTTGTTTTGGGTGTGTATAAATTACATATAGAGGTCAAAACAGTTTCTGAGTTTATTAACTTGTGTCCATGTATATGTATGCTCTTATCATAGACTGGAGTTTCATAAAACCCCAGATACCTTCAGTTGTCTCCTGACTCTCCAGCCTTTAAAGATTCTACTGCCCCATGTTAGCAATCGACAAATTTCATATTGGCCCTTATGTGGCCACAACTGCCTCCTCCACCTTTGGGAGTCACCTTTGAAAGGAGACAAAAAAAAAACATTATAATCCAGCAAAAGCTCATAATAGATATATCAAACTGTTCCATTTTCTTATTTATATTTGAAGACATTTTATGTTTGTTTTTGTTTTTGTTTTTGACCAGGATTCAAAAATAGCCAGTGAGAGTGTCAATGACCAACTATCAAACTCACTGCGCTACAGCTTTCGCCTTAAAAGTGGTGAACATGATGTGGTTGAGTGGAGAGCTGTGTTACAAAATAGCTTTCTTTATGTAGAGGTTCCACAAGGGGAGATTGCTCCAGGAGGGAAAGAGTGGTATGTAATACTGGTTGCTGTATGCATTACTTCTTGTTTCTGTAACAGTTTGAATTTGCTATGATAATAAGACACATTTTGGTATAGCTGTTTTACAATAACTGTAAACATAAGGTACAAGGTCATAGCATTGTAGGTAATTATGTCTGTTGCAGTTAATAAAGGGTCTTAACTAAGCACTGCAACTGCAAAATTTCAAAGCTATTAGTTTTTGTACAAGTTATTTGGGGAATTTCCTTATTGTAAACCTCTCTACAAGTATTCAAGCCACCAAAGTTGAGTTTTAAATGCTTTTGTGAGGGTTTTTAGGCTGTCAAGAAAACAATGAGCTTCAAGACACTCTTTGAAATCTTTTTAAGCTCTGCAACCCACTATATACCTCTACAACTTGTCTGTGGATCTGCTTTTCCTTAAACCATTTGTGAACTAGCACTGAAATAGTAATACCTTGTGGCACTTATTAGAAAGCTTTGTTTTGGTTAGTTTTGTATCACTGCTTGAGTATGCAGAGGAACATCTTGACTGCACCTACATATTTGTTGGACTACTCAAGGAAAGAGAAGACAGAGGTAATTTAATATGCATTTTAACATTAACGTACCATAAGAATTCCCTCATGTTCTAGTTATTTTAAAAGATGTCTGTAATAAGAGTTGATGTTATTGTTATGGCCTAATTTACCAGTGCATCCTCTTGAGCTCAGTTGTACTTTATGTTAAACTACGTGTTTTTTTGACTCAGTTCCTACACAAAGCAAATAATTTGGGCATTTTTCTACATGTCGTTATTGAAAGTCATGTTCAAGTAGGGTATGTAAACCTGCTTTTTTTCCCTTTTGATTAATCTTTTTGCAGCGAGTCTGATGCGCACCTTCATGTACATGGGTTTTGAGACAGTGAAGCCAGGCCATGAATTCTGTCCCGACAGTCCACACTTCATCTTTATGGCTTATACCATTGAATAGCAGTCATACCCAAGCCTTGCACAAGCTACCATTTGCATACAATACTTTTACATTGTACTTATTATAATTAACACTCTCTTAATTAATTTAAAGATTGAAGTGTTCCAAGATTTGATGCGGGTTTCCTAAATTTCATAGTGTAGAGATCGATATGAAAAGGCAAAGCAGTGTCTGTTTGGGACAATACTCAAACCAATTTGATGTGCATTGATTGAGGAAGAATGGAAAAAGTTATTAAGCCATTTATTTTGACCTAAGTCTTGCCAACTATTTGGCTTGGTGTAAACTAGTTTTGGAGGCTTGTACTTGCCTCAAAAATAAATATAAGGTGCTCATAAAAGTAACATAATTTACCTTTTCCATTTCTCATTACAGATCATCAGATGAAATTTTACATAGTTGATTGCAGTGAAGTAAGATTCATTGAGCTTAGTAATCCTTTGGGCAAAATATTAAGAAATTATAGAGTTTATTAGTTCATCCATCTTGTAATTGTTAAGTATTTTACAGTATGTGTGATTATTAGTTATTATGCATGACAGTTCAAGTATCAAACAGTTTCCCAGATATTTTTCTTATTGTATCTTTATGGTAGATTCAAGTGACAGCTTTACTCAGACAGTCCTCCTTTCTCTAGCCAGCTAGTCTTGCCTTTCTTTTTACAAGAATTGTGGGGGAAAACATTTTTGTCTTGAACATGATACAGGAATCATTGGAAAGACAATTTGATAAATATTGTCTCTAAGTTTGGTGTGTGGTAGATGCTCTTTGTATGTGCAAATAACTGTTGTTTTGATGCAGGCTTGCTCTGTATGGATAGCTAGTGTGGTGTGCATTCATGGTGAGACAATTTCATGTTACTTATGAAATCAATTCAACAATAAAATTACACTGAAGTCATATGGTTGGATTTTTTTACCTTAAATTTTTGAATTTCAAGTAGGAGCTGATTGCTTACAAGAAGTAAAAACATACCTTGCAGTTGTCTTTCAGTTTCTCATAGCTTGCAATCATTGAAGCACCCACCCCTTTCATGTTTAATCTGTAAAACTCTAAGAACATTTCATGTAATGATTATTAGAGATGGTTCAAGCCTTCTTGGAAAATTCAAATTGTCGTATCAAGGGGACACAGCTGATGAGTCAGAAGACATTTTATTTGAAAAAAAAACATTGTTATCAGTATTAGCATTGTTGGGAGCCTTGGCTTCTAATGGCTTCTTAACAGTGGCAAACAAACCGCCTCCCGGTTAGCTCAATTGGTAGAGCGCCAAACTGTTGTGAGGGAGGTCGTGAGTTCAAACCTGGGGCGGACCAACACTCAGGGTCTTTCAATAACTGAGAAGAAAGTGCTGTCTTTGTAATAATATCTGCAAATGGTTAGACTTTCTAGTCTACTCAGATAGGGACAAAAAATGGAGGTCCCGTCTCACAAGCCCTTGTATGTGATAAAAAATTTGTGGGATGTTAAAGAACCCACACACTGTTCGAAAAGAGTAGGGCACGTAGTGCCCGGTGTTGTGGTCTATCTTTGTGTAGTGTCTATCAAATTGATGGGGGGGGTACTGCGCCTTTGAATATTGTACAGAAAGGGCGCAATATAATAAGGAATTCATTCAGTCATTCAAACATGAAACAGGTGGATGATATCTTTGTTAGAGCACTTCTCAAAAAATGGATGATAAAAAGATGTGTTCAAAGGCCTTTTTAAGTGAAACTTGGGGTTCCTTGCCAAAAATAGTAATCATGTCTAGGCAGCTACTGCATTTTCACGTTCCTTGAGTCATTTCATTTTTCTGCATATAGTTTTCGTATAAGCTGGTTGTTTTGCACTCCATTGACAGCTGTAATCAATTTTTGAGTCACTGGATTTTTTTTATTGTTTTTATTAGTAATAAAACTGGACATGCATGATTATTATTGTTTTAAAATTTAACCAATCAGATTTCACCATGCTCATGGGACTGGTGTGAGTAGGGAAGTTGAAGGATCAGTGAAGAAGAATCCTGTTATTGAAAACAGTGTTTTATACCTTTTCTTCAAATAAATATATCTTATTAACCAAGCACGAGGGCCGTACTGGGAGTATATTGGCCCGAGGTCTTGACAGTACAGACCTAGCACAGTGAGGTCCGTACGAAATAAAAGACTGAGGGCCAATATTCTTCCAGTACGGTCCCGAGCAAGCTTCGTTGATAAGAGATTTATTATCTGACTGAAGTTTAAAGGGACATAAGTGCGGTATCATTTGGGACCATTCGGGACAGTGCCCGGTCTAATATTGAGAGAATATTGACCAGCAATAGAACATTTTGATTGGTTGATTTTTGTTATTGGCCCTCTTACTGCCTGAGTTGTGTAATAAGATAGGAAAATAGCCTTGTCACAAATGAGATTATGCTTTGCAGAATTGTAAGTATGTTCACAATAATTTTGTCGAAAAAAGTTTGCTTATTTCATTTTCAGTGAGATTTGTGTTAAGCTTTTATAGTTGATTCACAAGTGAGCAATGGAATGTATGCCTTTAATTTCAGACGACTACACATTTAGCTAGCAGTTTCAGGATTAGAAATTGTGACATTCAAGCAGTTCACAAAAACCTTGTAGATTATGTAGACATTATTTTCTTGGTGTGTCTTCAACCTAAGTACTACTGGAACCCATGGTGCAAAACTCATGTCTGCCATATTTTTTCTTTGCTCTTATTGGACGCGTGACTTTGGTTTTAAAATACTTATCAAATTAGACTACCAACAAAACTTAAAGGAAGAAGTCATGGTTAACCTATGAGAGGGATTGGATTACTCCACCTGTGATTTCAAGGACAAAATTTTAGTGCTTAGCTGAAGTGATCAAGGAGATTGCTGCCCAAATGAGGTGTGTATACAAGAAGGCATACCTTTCTCACTTTGAAAATTAATCAGAAATCTTTTCCAACAAGTTTTTTTTATCAGGTGATAATAGTCATTTCAAATGATGAAGTTGAATAGTCTAGCACTCTTCAATAGTGACAGACTTTATATTGCTTCGCAGAGAAATGTAAACAAGAGTGACTTCTGACTATTTCCATATTTTATTGATAGTTTCAACAAGTGCTCAGGGCATGTCCACCCATTAAGTTTCTGCTGTTACACTGCAATATTCTGACCATCAAGTCAACATCATTACCAAGTGTTTTTGATGTGACTATCATATAAAAACATTAACAGTGATACCTTGCATCAACAACAGATACACAAGGCACCATCGACTTATTGTAAAGTTAAACTTACAAACTGTGACATATGCTACATATCCTGATCAATTGTGTTGCCATATGAGGCCTCTAGGGCACAAATGTTTATCATTTTTGAAATAAAATTCAAGTCAATAAAGCAAAGGCTTTAATGATTGGCTTAGGTGCCTGATTGAAACAAAAAGCTGTTAATAAATACAATCATTCAATTTTTTTTCTTTTTTTTTTTTGAGTACATATAATTGTCAACTGATTAAAAGTGATTTGAAGTAATAGGTTAGTTATCATATGGCTGCACTAAAGCAGGATGCATGCTGATTCTTCTTTCTCAGTCACTTCACATGGTTCTTTACCTTGGCTACAGTGACGTACCACAACAACAACCTATCCAAAGAAAGACACAAGGATAACACACTCTCACTTTCACCTTGTCAAAGGTATTTTTGTAATAAATTACAGTGCTAAGTCTCTGTTAATCTTACAATACATCACTCTGGCTGATTACAATTTGGTTAAACCCACTCTCCAAAATAATGAGCTTGGTACCAAAATGTAACAGACCTAATCACAACAGATTTAATTGCAAAACATACATACTGGTGCACAGCACTCAACTCTGCACAATAAGTTATTAGCACTATTCTAAAATACTTAATAGTTGACAGTGGGTAGTTATGAACATTAAATATCAAAGTAGAGGGCAGAAATATTGGGTTGCATTTATTTAATAGTTGGGAAGGATATGGGAACACTTAAGATCATTTTTTGTAATGCGATGAAAGAATTTACGATGAAGTGATTGGAAGACCTGCCTCCACAACAATTTACAAAACAGCTACAGAAGCCTAAAGTTTGGTGGCTATAAACATCACAGCAATGAAATTTATGTAGACCAGCTGGTACAAATTTGTCTCTCTGACTACATGCACCTTCCAGAAAGTTTAACTCTTAAACATCATACTTAGATTAATATATTTAATTCAAAACTAACCTCTTTAAAGGAGGGAAAACTTCCTTGTTCAAGTTTGGAAAAAATCAGTTTTCCATTCAGTGTTACCTCAAACGAGGCTGTAACAAACACATTTACAAATTATAAAAGAACAATACATTAACTTGTACATTAACCAAAGCATTAAAATGTTCTTTTATCTCCAAAGAAGGAACAGACAACAGGAAAATACAACACAAATACATCATGAAAATATTCTGAAGGAGGTTTTGTTCAGTATTCATGTACATTTTCTTAAACTAGTTGGACTTACAGCTGCGACCAACTTGGCCAACAACATTTGCTTCAGGAACATCAGCCTTTATCATATCAGCCAGTTCCCTGTAGCGTGGGGCGTATCCTCATCCCCCACTGAATAAATAATAAAACAAAATATACCATTTGTTTAATATGAAGATGAATGAGTAAAATTGAGGGTATGTTGACTACTCATCGACTTCTTTAAATCCCAGCAATCATTTTTAATTATTTCAAAGCCATGTAGCATTTACTGAGAGAAATTTATGTATCTAACTAAATGCATTGCTAGTGTTTTTGATTGACACATTCACCATCATAAAATTACACGTACAAGCTACTATCCCAAACTTGTCAGTCAGATGTGCCAGTACACGTAATGAAATTTATCAAAAATTCTAGAGAAAGTCTAATAGTTGAACAATAATATGAAGCAACTTTTGTCCTTTTCTTAAGGAAAATCTTAACCCCCTCAACAAAAAACCCTGCCGTCCTAGAAGGGGGAGAGAGATAAAACTGGAATGTCCTCTACAGACTGTGTCTGGACACAGAAAAATAGGTGACGACTTGTTTCGCAATGACTTATAATAATCATCAGTAAGACTTTAAATTTCCTGAGCCAAAGGTACAATATATATTCCCCTCTTTTAACGTGTGTTCCACTTCATTCCTAAATGGCCATAGCTGTTTAACTGACTGAATTACAGATTACACAGTATTGCACTTTCGGAGAGGATAAAATGTGTTTACTCATGCATCGAGCAAGAAAATTCAAAATTTAGCCTGCTCTTCATAGGTAATATGTGAACAGATGAAAAATTAATCCCTAAACTTCGGGCCAATACAAAAACTTAGCGACTGTAATGTTAATGTTAATATACTCTTTGGGTAAATAACAGTTAAAATTACATCGAGTTATTAATTCAAGAAGATTTCGGTTAAAAAAAAATGCTCGTTTCTCTGCAAGCCGTAGCAAAAAGCTGGTTTAAGAAAATCTACCTCATACCAGAAATTAGACGTTTAAACGACGCATCATTTGAAACACTGAATAGAAACACATTCAATCAATTTCAATTCGTCGTATCATCGACAATTTGGGTTTCCAGCAAATCATATATTAGTGAAACTCTTGGCCACAACCATTCTTGTTTGGGGGGGCGTATGCTGAGTTTAATTCGGATGAATTAAGCAAGACCATTCCGACTTCTGGACTAAAGCTTTGAAGCTCAAATATTAAGGCGATATTTGACATGCTAATTTACGTTTGTCAATGAATTCCCAACGCTCGCCAAATGGAGTAAAAAAGCTTAGCTCCCAATTTTCTAGTTACTCCCTACTTGTTTGTAGAAAAAATGAGATGGAAAAGTGTTGAAACGACGATACCTTCACGTTAACTTACCAATATTCTATGGTAACTTCGACTTTCGAAGCCATTGTAAAGAGATTTCTTCCTGAGACCGAAGCGAAAGATATTTGCCTCCCCGATCGATGTGCTTCCTTCAGAGACTAACCTACTTTTGCGTGACTAGACTAGTTCATCCTTGTCCCAACCCCTCCCTGCAAAGTATAAAATGGTCTTGAGCCTTCAATAAAAGAACAGCGGCTAAAACACCGTTAAAGGGTCTGTCATGTTTAGGAACAGGAAGTATCATTCCGGCAAAGTGTGGGGGGTCGACGAGGGTAAGAGTAAACAGCAATTTTGGTCAGCGGGCAAATTAT